TCATCTTTATTGTAACCCTCTCTTTGAAATTAATTTTTATATTTTATTATCCGATTTGCTACTAAAATTGTTAAAAGTTCTTTACGAAGAATAATATTTATTTATATTTTTTCAGTGTTTTTATCAAAAATCAAAAAATGCTACAGACTCTACAAATTTCAACATGATGCGTATAAATTACAACTACATTTTGATACTAACATAATTTACACCGTGCCTTTAGGTAGTTCAATTTCTCCATTTGTCATATTCATGCACAAATGAACTTCTTAAAGTAGGTTGTTAACTACATTATTAAACCTCATTCTGCCTTCTTACAGTTATCTTTGTCTAATTTACATAACCAGACACTTTCAGGTTGAGACATCATTGACCTTCAACCTATAATTATGGACAATATTGCCATTTTTGGTCACGTAAGTTGTTTTCTTTTTAATTTATTTGAACCAAAATAAAAAAAATAAAAAAATACACCTTTCTTATAAGTTGAAGTCAATTTTCTTTTCTTTTCATTATTTTTTATCTAATTTCCTGATAACAAAATACTCTTTTCTGATAGATGGAGACCTATGTCAAACTGTAATATTGACTCTTTTTACTCATTTTCTTACATGCATACATTTTTAATATTTTTTTTTACCTCTAATTCTTTTGTATTTATAGTTTCAATTTCTTCAATAAAGAAATGCCAAGAGTGTTTTGATATTTATATAGATTTTCTTCTACTAATATACTAACTTTTTTATTTTCATAAATTACTAGATTGTTGTGCATGCTTCTCAATGGGGATACATAGAAGTTGATACAAAAAAATTTTGGAAAGTGATGAGACGCTCCTACGAATTCTAAGAAAGAACAAGTTTGAAAATCATATTTATTTTTTGTGAAAAGCGTACATATGCTAGCTACGATCTAGATTTTGTAAAGTTTCCTATCAATGTGAATTTTAGTTTTGTAAAGCCTTTTATCCATGTGCAATTTATAACTAAGTTTAGATGTATGTTATATAATATTCATTTGAATTATTCACTCGGTCATATAGTCTTTTTTCTTTTTTCTTCCTAATATGCTCTTGAATTAGCTTAAAGAAAACTAATCATCTTCTTCTTTTTTTTGTTGAATTTGAATTTGTGCTTTCTTATATATTTTTAACAAGAAGGGTGTTGCTTTTAATATATGATTGGATTGTGTACGTATTAATCTTTTAAAATAATTGTTCATTGCACAATTTTTGTCATTTTTTTTTTTTTTTGAATTGCAAAGCACGGCTGGTGTGCTTTATTTATTTGTTATTTTTTTTCTATTGTGGAGCATTGATTGGCATGCTTAATTTGTTATATGTCCTTTTTTTTCGTATTGTAGAATATTGATTGATGTGCTTAATTTGTTATTTGGCATTTTCTTTGTATTGCAGAGCACGAACTGGTGTGCTTAATTTATTTTTATTTTTTTTTCTATTGCAGAGCATTGGTTGGCATATTTCGTCTTATTTTTATTATATGTTTCTGTGTTGTGAGACTTACATTTTATTGTTTGTTTAAAATCTTAAAATTATTCCAGTTACATTTTCATTCCAATAATATTTTCACCGTGCCTTTAGGCACGGGCATACCCTAGTACTAGTATATATCAAGATTCTAGGAAAAATAAGGGAGGGAAAATAGGGTTTGACCTTTAGGTTAAAATAAAATCTAAATTTTTAATTTTATCATTTTAAATCTTAATCTTATCAATTTAAATCTTAATCTTTTAATATATTTTTAATCTAAATCATTTATTTATTTTCGTTAATTAAAATTGAGGGGAAAATGATATTTAATAACTAAATTCAACAAAAAATAATATTAAAACTTATTATGTTGCTGACCATATCAATAATAAATTTGATGCACATAATTCAAATTATGAGTATTTTTTTCTAAGTTTATAGCATTGTTGAATTTCTCTCTTGTAGTCTCTCTCCACTATAAACAGTAATATTACAAATCCAAAATTTTTACTCAAAAAATTACTAATAAATATCAATATAGGATCTAGATTCATCGTACATATGAATTCGACAAATCTTAATTAAGGGACTGGTTTTTCTCCAGTCTCAAATCGGACTGGAGAGGATATTGTTGGGCCCACTAGGCTCACTTTTGGGCTCCATTTTAATAATCCGAACCGTTCACATTTTAGGATTCGTCAAGTAAATTATCCTTGCAAAAAATCCAATCAATCAGATAACGACAACCATATATCTGGATTAGATTTGTATAAAAAAAATAAACAGTAAGAAAATAAACGATTCATACAAAATTGATACGAACAAGTGGTTTATGTTATCCGATTGACTTGATTTTTGGCAAGGATGATATACTCGACGAACCTTAAAATATAAGTAGTTCAGATTATCGAAACGGGATTCAAAAGTGGGCCCAATGGGCCAGACTAGATGGTCAAGTCTGATGAAGGATTGGAGATAGTCCAGTTCCTAAGACTGTGTTTGGTTCAAGAATTTGGGAAGGGATTTAAAAAAGGAAAGAGAAAAGGACAATGAAATATAAATAACATAGGGTTTGGCCTTGGTCCAGTCCTAGATCGAACTGGACCGTGCTGTTGGGCCCGTGGGGGCCCACCATGGGTTCCGTTTTGAAAATTCGAACCGTTTAATGTGTAGAACTCATCGATTACTATATGCCTGTAAAAAATCACGTTGATCAGATATTGATAGCTATGTGATCAAATTAGTTTTGTATAAAATAAAATTGATGGTGAATAAATTAACGGTTGACAAAAAACTGTTTTGATCACATAACTATCGATATCCTATCAATATGATTTTTTATAGGCATATAGTACTCGATGAGTTCTACACATTGAACGATTCGGATTTTCAAAACGGGACCCGTGGTGGGCCCCCAGGGGCCCAACAGCGTGGTCCAGTCCAATATTGGATTGGACCAAAGCCAAACCCAATAAAATATACTTATATTTCGCATAATTTCATATAGTTTTTCCCTTTCTCTTTCCTTTTCTTTTTTCTAAATCTCGCTCCAAATCTATCAACCAAAGATGACCAAAATAAATTGTTGGCACAAAATTATGGGTTCCAAGACTTACTGCACTATAAAAGCATATCACTAGATCAAGACTGAGCTCTTTTTTTTTTTTTCGGAATAAGTAGAACTCTAGTTAACAAACCTTAAATCTAGTGAGGAATATTATGATGATACCCAAGTTACTTAAAAAAAATGGGTCTCTATGATGTCAAAATACAAGGCACTAGTGTTAAGGTAAAGGGTGGTAGATCATCAAGACTTGATCAGCTTAGGCCTTTTCGAGTTAAGATCTGAGGTCACTACTCCAACTGTTGTTGGACTTATGGTCAAGCAGTCGGGTTATTATGAACATATAATGTTGCAACTTTGTGTCGGAAATCGTTGCCTAGTGATTCTAATGAATCGCTTGGATTCAAATTCAATACCTCAATTAGGGGTTTAACTTGGGTGGGCTCAATCCGAGCAACCCGAATTCAGCCTGAATTTTTTTAGGATATTTTTAAATTCAGTACAGGCTTGGACAAAAATTCAGATGTCCGAATTAAATTTGGATGGGCTTGAGCAAAGACATCAAACAACTGAGTAACCCGAAACCCGAATTATACATATATAGATATATAAAAATATTAAATATATATATATACATTATTAGTCATTACATGATATTAAAGTAATTTAAATTATTAAATCATATTGAATATATATTATATATACAAATAACATAAAATCTTACTTCTTTTTTTATTTTTTTTTATTTTCACTCATAAATTGTAAAAACTACTATAGCGGCATATTTCTTACATTATATAAATTATTTGTTTTGATGGTATTAATGATTTTCTATATATAAAAAAAAATGTAAATAGAGTCAAATTTTAATAATTTAATAATGTAGCTGCAAAAAAAAAATTACAATTCAGTCAACTTGGGCAATTCGGGTTTAACTCGGGTCGAACTTGGGCAGGCAACCTCGAGTTACAATTCGGGCTTGGGCGGGCCTGGGCAGATCTCAGCACAACTTGGGCTGGGCTTGGACAACCTCCCAACCCGACCGAACCCGCCCGAGTTGCACCCCTAACCTCAGTGCCTAAAGAATTTTCTGGAAAACCAAGAAATTTGTTTCGTGGGTGTCGATTTGAGTAGCGGAATTCATAGTTTGAGTGGAAAACGTCGAATAGAATGCAAGAGCAGCGTTGAAGCTAAGGAGTTGGTTGCTAGAGTTCTTAAGAAGCCTCGTCTTATAGATGTTGGATTAGCAACATTAGCCGCTGAAGTTGGAATAGCTTGGGAGCAATCCAAATATCTGTACTACAATAAGTTGGGTCTTGAATGACGAATTTTTTTTGTCTCTAAAGAGTTAATTTCGTCACTATAAATATTTGTGAGAAAATATTTTTGTCACCGATTTCGTCATTGAATGTTTGTCACTAAAAAGCGTCGTGACGAAAAATAAATTCGTCACCAATGAAATTACTTCAGTGACGAAACATTTTGTCACTAATAAAATAATATTTTGTCGCCAAAAATCCTCATTTTCGTCACCAAATAATTATTCAGTCCCATAGTTATAACTTTAGTTGATGAATAAATTTGTCACATGTTGATCATTGATGAGGAAATAATTTCGTCACAGTAAGATGTAAAGTTGATGAAATTTTTTTCATCTCAAAACGTCATACATGAGTGACGAAATATATTTCATGACAAAAATATATATACGTGACGAAATTTTTAGTTACAAAACAACAAAATCAATAAAAACCTTCACATATAAACTGCAATAAATTTTGTCACAAAAAATATTTATTAACGACGAATAATCACTTTGTCACAATAACAAGTACAAATGACGAAAAAATTTCGTCACTAAACTTGTCCCATATTTTATATTTCAATTTAAATTATTATTTCACAAATATCCCTACTCATATCTCAATAACCTTTTAAATATACTAAGAAATCCAATAGCTATTATACACCATTCCACAAAAAAATTCACTAAACAATTTATATTATAGATCAAAATATATGCATCAAACAAATTTAATAATAATCCATTAAGTATAACAAAAAAACCATCAAAGCAAATCCCAAAATGAACTAACATGGAGTCCACAAAAAAAATCAACACTCGATTTTGATTTGCAACTAGAACTAAGTATCAGCTCAGGAAAAAAAAAATTCAACACTTGATCTTGATTTGCAAGTATGTTTCCAAACATCATCAAAAACCAATCTGCAAAGAAAAACATTAACATATTATCAATTACATTGTATAGAGCTCTCTATCCATGTCAATACAAATTGTGTATACAATGAGTCTAGCTTAACAACCAGAAGTTCCTTTGTACATGTATTAATCACATCACTAACTTAGAGCAACTCCAACACTGCTTAGCAAAAATACACAAAAAAGTATGCACACAGTTTTGTCTCTACTTTGGTTAGTGTGTATTTTAACAAGGGTCATGCTAAATAAGAAGTAACTAGTGAATCTATTTTCATTAAATACATCTTCAAACTTGTTAAATCTTAGTTAATAATTAGTGAAATTGCTATGCTTTAACTAGTATATACTAACCAACATTAGAAAAATAAAAACATAAAACAAGTGAGACTTACCAAAACGGCGATCTACGAGTTCTGTAGGTGTGGGTGCTCAAGCTCCATCCACACTTTGTTGCCACCGCTTTGCTAATATCCGTGGATTCACCTTGCATGTCAAATTGATCCTAGCAACAACCACAAATATTGTAAGTCATAATTAATTATATTATATGAATTCAACCAATTATGTAAAACTTTTACCATTAGACGCTAAAACATAGGTGCCGTAACTTCTTCATTGACATGTTTCCACCTGTGAATGCTAAAGTCTGGCAAGTGTGTACGGGACCTCAACACCAATTTTGGAGACTAATTGAGAGGCATGATCCCCCACTGGCGCATAATACTCCTATGGTATGGGAACACCAGAATACTGTGGTGCAATCTCCTGATCATAGAAAAGAACGAAAATAAGGTCAGACGTGAGTGAAAACAGAATTTATGCTATTCTCAATTTCAATTGTTATGTTTTACAAACTGCAAGCATGAATAATTGTTATGAGTTTTTCCACATATGCAGGATCATTAATTCATAAATGAGAATGACTTCGATGAAAATGGAAATGAGGAAAAATGTCCTGTATTCTGATTATAGACTTCTGTCATGGAAAGCAAGTTACTGGTGAAAATTGTGGTGCACATGTGTTCATACCCAATTAGTGTTCACTTACCCAATAGGAACCCACCTTGGTAAAGTGAAGTACTCTGGTTTAAACAATGGACCAGAATCACAATGAAGCCAACCAGTTGACAAATCCTGTATGTGTTATCACCAAAAGGAAATGGAGATAAGTTTCTTCCAAGTTGGATACATATACCTTTTTAAACAAGAATGATACAATATTGAAAAATAAGGTTCGCCTTCCTCGAACATGTAAGCCACTCATTGCGACCCATGACATTTGCAAGTTGTGTAAACAATAGACATCAATTGTGGAAGAAAAAAACAAGTTAAGCACCACTGGCACTGCCAGCATGTAGTGGTGACTCCCTTCCTCCCTCTCGCTACTCTCCTCTCAGATCTTGAATTCACACTTCATTCATCAGAAAAAAAATAAAAATAAAAGAATTAGTCTTCACTGTTTTTCAAAATATTTTTTTTACATTAAATAAATAAATAAACCATTATGTTAATGGGTGCAATACTAACCACACGTCAAAATCATTTCTATTATGTTAGGCTTCGTTTGTTTTGGGTTATAGGAAGGGCATTGGGATTCATAATGAGTTGAGACCCACTAGAGTCTACTAAAGAAATTAAAATGAGTAATTAATGGACAAAAAGTGATAAAAATAAGATCTAATTTTATGTATTAAGTGTTTATTAATTTAGATATATATTAATGTATAGAAGAAACAAAAAAATAATTAAAGAATGAGTGCTGCAATTAGTACCCCATCAATTATTTTGAACCTCTTATTTCTTTAGATCCCCACTTATAAATTGTAAAACTCTTTAAAAAAAAATTATTAAACAAAAAACTTGAAACAACACAAATATGCCAACACAAGCACCCTTGTCAAACACACACGCATGCATGTGTGCACCTGCAAACGTGTACACACACACACACAGAGATTATGTACGAATATATTTACCTGCCCAAAATGGAGGAACACCACACAATAAAATGTAGAGTATTACTCCTGCACTCCATATATCTATTTCTGGTCCATAGTTCCACTTGAGCACCTCCGGAGCCATGTAATATGGACTTCCAACAATTTCAGAGAACTTTTCATCTAACAAAAACTCAAAAATTTAGACATAAAGCAGAAGTGAAAAAAATAAATAAATAAACAAAAATCAAATTCTTCAGTTTCAGGCTCCCAATTGTTAATTTGTAAGCATCTCACTACCCATAAATGAGGAAAAATGCCATATTTGAAGGATAAATTGAATCAATGTGGCAATGAACAAGGGACGACCACTAGTTTTATGTTTGTTTTTATTAGTACACGTGATATGGCCTACATGTATAAACAGGTAGAAGTGTGAGAAAATTATTTGATAAGTCACGAGGTAAAGACTATTGACTTGCATAAACCATGCTGAATCACATGTAGCTAAATCTCAAGACAGTAAAAAATCAATAGAACTCACATTAAATTGTTGAATTGTTATGCTCTTCTTGCAAGATAGGGAGTATGATGGTAAGATCTTATACTATAAGGCCATGTTTGTTTGGACGGACTGGATTAGCATTCCCATGACTAATAGTCCTATGACTACCAATCCGTTGGATTATATATCCTATCTTAACTAATAGTCAAGTTTAAAATAATTAGTCCGTATTTCAATTGTTTAACCAAACATCGGATTAATAATTTTGTTGGACTATTAGTCCAATCCTAAGCTCATATCCACCCAAACAAACATGGCCTAAAAGTAACAGAACTGTTACCAAATTATGTATTCGGAAACAATTTGCTAGTTGTTGTAAGACTATAGCAATACTAGCCCTTTTGTGACTATCAAACTCACCTGAGCCAAATTAAAACATGGATTTGGTGCTCAAGGCATATATACAGTGCAAAAATCGGTAGAACATTCAAATGTCACCAGAGTTTTCAAACCAACTAGAGTGAATACATTCATTATCTCAATGCCAGCCAGCCAATAATGAGTACAAATTTAAGGTGCTTTAGTGCCAGTCACCCAAGTAGCTCCTTTTGTCTTGCCATGTAGTTGATCATTGAAACTATTTCAGAATAGCATGTATCAAAGTTCTGGGGGGAGAAAATAGTACTCTAGTAACAGAGTTTTGCATTTAAATAATAAAATGTGGTCTGGCCACCTTATGAATGTATTCAGTTCAAAAATATAGCACGACATTAAATGTCACTAGTTAAGAAGCATGGACACTTCAAAGAAGGTGTCGTGTGTTTGTGTCGGACACTAACACTCCTCATACACACCCTGACGTGTGTGTTGAACATGCATCCAAATGTTATATTATTTTTTTAATCTTTTTAGAACAAGACAAACATCTAAAACTTGAAATAACTTTGAAGCTAATAGTTAAAATCAAAGTAATGTAGATCCCTCCTTCAACTTGTAATGAATATTAAGAAGCAATAGACATCAAGCAATACCATTGTAACAAAAATGATTATGAAAATATATAGAACACACTGTGAGTTCAAAAATTCCAAAGATTAACTTCACTAAAGCCTAAACAATAGCATAAGCAAGTGTAAATGAGGAAAACAATTGTTCAAATAAATGTTTACAAGAACTATAGTGGGATATAAAGCTGCACCCCATGCGATGTGCACGAAGGAACTAAAAGCTCTCTACATCTTCACTGGTGTAGAGCCACCCGAGCCTGTCCCATATAAAAACCAACCATCTGATCTTATGGAAGTCAATGACAAGCTTCTGTTTCTGATGTCCATAGTTGAAGTGAAGTAGGTAGAACTATTTCTATATATGTTATATGGTAAGGCTAAATGAAAAGAAAATAAAAATAAAAAAAAACTCCACACAAGTTTAGAGACCACATAAGCAAAGAGAGATGGGGTCTGTGAACTTGCTAATAGAAGGAGACCTCAAAACAGCCTGCAAGGAGGAACTACTCAAAGAGAAGATGCCCACAGCCAACTAAAACAAAGGCAAGAAATAATGGCAGTAGTAGAGCATCATGGCCTTCAATAATTCATATAGGAAGTATGTTTCTCTTATCATATCTTTTCCATTTTAAGTCATACTCTATCAAATGCTTGTGTTTGATGGTTGAAAAAGCAACTGACTTTCATTATAAGTTTGATTAGTCTCCTGCTCTCTTTTTAAGTTTGTGATTTATTTAAATCTTGTATTTGCTTGCCTACTGAAGTTCTCTCCTAAAGTTAGAATTGTTTGATTATACAGGGAAAAACTGTATTTACAGGCCTGGAAAGCTTTCCTAATCATGCACAGAATACCAATGTCATGTCTAATGTTCAGGATGGTTACGGGCTTATGATAACGGAGTTAATCGGAACTGAAATATCCAATTGTTCTTCCGTACCAGCAGATATTACTTCTCTGCACAATGAGATGACCCTTAATAATGGAGAGGTGCAATTACAATTTACAAGCTGCTAGAAACTAGATATTTGTTTAACTGGGATCTTTTCCATGTGTAGTTCTTCACACTAATATTGGTATATATCTGTGTGGCACTGGAAAAGACCAAGTTATTACATATAGTCTTCATTTATATATCTTGAAGTTTCTTAATACAATTCTCAACTACGTTAATTATGGCTGCTGAATAACTTGCTTTGTATTCTACAAGGATCCTCAAATTCCCAGGCATGGTATCCAAGAAGAATCAGGAGGCTAGTCCAGCTAGCAAGGATGATCACAGAAGCAAAGGAATCAACCCAAATCATAGCCTAATTAATGAATTTTATTTTTTTATGAATAACCTAAGTACAAAAACCTATAAAATAGACAGATATTAAACAAACATTCAAATATAGGGAAGAGTTGAACCCTAATTTTATTAAAACTAGAGACAATCAATCCAAATCATATAAAATATTCACATTTAGTGAAGGGATTTTACTAATTTCAAACTATTAATTATAATCAATAGGACATTCATTCTCAAGTTTATAGCAGAAACAAGCAAAAGACATGAAATGAGGATGGCCAAGTTTACAATTTACACATTCACAATTTATTGAAGAGAAACCTTGCTGGAAAGAATAAATACAACATTAAATCTATTAATTAGTTTTGAAAATTAGGGAAAACATTAATTCTAAAAATTAGGGAAAACAATGATAGAAAAATAGAGAAATTGAGTGTGTGTGAGAGAGAGAGAGAGAGAGAGAGAGAGAGAGGACCCATAAGTAATAAAAGGCGTTGATGTAAGAGAACACACAGCAGTAAAGGAGATGCGACGTCTGTAGCTGTCACGCCCTCAAAATAATAACATTAATCCCATCAATTTAGACATGCATTGATATAAGAGATAAACATCATTCTATTCATCAGAGTAATTCTTTACAAAAGCATTACATGTTAACAACAAAAGCAAATGCCCTACGGGCTTACAGTTTTCCAAGTTAACACTTGGTTACAAAGAGGAGAGTACTAGCTCAAATACACATTAAGCCCTTGGCTTGAAATTACATGTAATAAAACAAAAGATAACACAACCACAAACGTCTGCCTGCCTCTAGCCTCTCAAGCTATGTCCTTGGAGGTGGCATGCTTCCTGTACCTGAAAATGGTGTCCCATATAGGGTAAGCCATAGCCTAGTAGAAATACACTAAACCAACTATAAGCAATGACTAAAAGATTAGCAGTTGATAGATGGTCAACACTTGTACACTCATTTACCTCACATTACTGTTCCATGACATTCGTGTCCGCGTTACAATTCACTTTCCATTTCTTATTCAACTTAGAGTTTGAAAACAAGGCTCAGTGCCCTGGCCAAATCATTTGATGAGATCATAATTACCCACTAGAACACTTTCAAAATTCATAATGGATATACATGTTGGTGTCATATCTAAGTCAAACAAAACATTTCCATATTTCTCAACGATGTACATTTTAGTGCTATATCAAATCAAACAAACAATTCCATATTTCACGAATGATAATGATATACATTTTGGTGCTATATCAAATCAACAAACAATTACATACTTCACGAATGGTAATGATATACATTTTAGTGCTATATCAAATCAAACAAACACTTCTAATTCGCAGCCTGATACACATTGTAGTGCTGTATCACTATCACAAGAAAACACTTCTAATTCACAGCCTGATACACATTGTAGTGCTGTATCACTGTCACAAGATTCGGTTTAGAGGTTCAGCCCCGTTCTTCCAATAAACCGTGGAGTACAGCCCCGTTCTCCTCCCACACAATACAATGCATATAAACAATTATCATATACAAATTTAACCTATCAATACAAAATTTTGATGTATTGAACCACTTGTCATGTTCATTATCATACTAAATAGATTAGCTTTAGATTGCCTAATCATCACACTTTGCCTACTACAATCAAGACTATCCTCCACTGATAGTCCAATACAGTTATTTCTAAACAGGAAATAAATGCACCAATTTGATATATTATCAACAGTTTAACTAGGTGAGCGACAAGTGAGTCCAACTACACCCTTTAACCCCATATCTTTCTAATTTGAATATTTCCTATTCAATTTCTCAATTCCCTAAATTTCTTGTACAAATTAATTTATCAATGTAATTAGGGCTTTACCCATAATCTACATAACAACACTAAGGTTCCATTTTCTTCAATAGTTCAACATTAGCCTCATTTCTCTTTATCAAACATGTATATAGGTTTACATATAACAAACCCCCATCTTTTGTAAAACTACACAAAGACCCAAACTTTCTCAAAAATACCCAACAACCCCCAACATATCAAAATGCTAAAATTCAAAGACAAAACTCGTAAGGAGGAGTAGGATATCCCTACCTCAAATTCGGAGCTCAAAGGGAGAAGATGACGAAACCCAAAGTGCTCCAAAACTCAATATGCTCGAATCAAAACGTAGCCCTCGACGATCAACACAACTTTTGTAAATGCCAAAGGTAAGGAAATCACTCCTACTAGATCAATACTTAGAGAGAAGTTGAGTTTTAGTGAGAGAAGTTAAGTTTTAGCTTTTTTCGAAAAAGTAAGAGAGAGAAAGGATGTTGAAATGTGATTCAAAAATGCACAGCTGCCAACTGATATACGCATGATCCGCTCGAGCGGAGAATAGAACGCTCGAGCGTCAAGCACAAAAACTGGACCCGCTCAAGCGCAAGAAGGCCCGCTCGAGCGCCAGGACACAAGAACAAAATACATCCGCTCGAGTGCGAAAACCAATTCACTCGAGCGTAGATTACCCCTTCTCAGAACTTTCACAGACAATGAACACCCCGTTCGAGCGCCAACAGACCCGCTCAAGCGTGACCCGCTCGAGCGTAAGGAAACCCGTTCGAGCGTGAAAAACACACCTGCAGAAGTTTTGCAAAGGCACAGATACTGGAAGTGTGAAAACTCCGCTTGAGCGTGATATGGTCTGCTCGAGCGCACAACTAAAAA